TATGATCATGAAAGAGGGTTTATATTCATGATTTTGTGAGCGGAAAAAGGTAAAAGGAAAGGTAAAGGAATGCAATCATTCAAATGCATTTGCATACCACTCCTTACCAACTACATCCAATCCAATTCTTAATCTCATTGGCATGACAACTCCTTGTCGTCTTACATCTTATGTGAATATCAATCTTTACTTACAAATTCGTTGGATCTTGAGTTATGTTAATAAACCTAATAATTCATTTTAAGTTGGACTCAAACATTTAGGCATATCGTATGGCTCATAATTTGATTCCCTTGAGGAAGAAGTGATTTTGACTTATCTCAACAAGCCAACAAAGACCAAGAGAGTACTCTTTATATAACGTTAGAAGGTAATTAACTTGATATTAATTTGAATGATTTAATATGGTAAGTCTCATCTTAGCATACATGCTAGTCATCAATCTCATTAATCCGATTATGTATACTATCAATCGCATGTAAATACATACAACTTATGTATGACTCAAGGACTAGTGAATGGTAATAGATCTCTACTACTAGTCCCCTCGAGCCACGAGGAGCCTAGTGGGTCAAGTACCTAGATAAAAAATTATTACAAATTCTTTAAGATTGTCCTCTCTTCTGGCTTCTTCTCCTTGCATCTATTCTCATATCCTATCTTCTACTTATATTTATTTGAATAAGAAACCTTGAGTTACATTCGAGAAAAGTAAGATGAGAAGAGAAATACATCGGAATGATAGAGAAAGCAAGACATACGAGCCCTAATTAACCAAAAAGTTATAAGCATTCATTTAAATAAACTAGGTCGATTCATCTATATCATTCACTTATGCTTTAATCATATTGATACATTACATACTAATGAAATACATTTCATTTTAATCACAATTATAAATCCATATTTTGGTCATTTTATAAAATAGTAATTTTTTTTAAATTTCAATTTTAAGACTTTTTAAGCCTTGGGCTTATGGTTTTTGGGCCTTGAAGGCCCATATGCTATCACGCCCTAGCTGGCCATTTTAGCACCGGTCGGCTACTATTAGTGGCTCGGTATGCTCATGTACACTTAGCCTCGGTGTTGACCTGCGGCACACTTGCATGTCCGGCCTACTTCCCGACATGCGTATGTCTTTGGTATGTTGCCTAACCTAAGTATGCCTTGTTTTATATGCACCCGACATGTGCTTAATGTGCACAAGACACATCTTGGTCCGGCATGTGCCCGAGTGCACACTTTTCATATCGCATGCCCGGCGTAAGACTTGCTCGCTCGGTAGGCTCGTCATATGCAAAGCATACACGGCATGTCATGTACCTAGTGCATGATTAGCATAACTAGTAGGCTTGATGTGCACGAGGCAAGCTCGGCCTATCAAGCACCCAATATGCATTGGCTCGGCCTAGAGGGCTTGACGTATGCAAGGCATGCCTAACCTATCACGTACCTAATACGCCACTAGCACGGCCGGTAGGCCTAATTTGGGTAAGGCAAGAATGGCTCGTCGTGCACCTAGCGCTCGGCCGGCCTAGCCTAAAGGGTCCGGCATATGGAAGGCACACTTGGCGTATTGCAAGCTAAGCATGTGACTAGCCTTGGCTCTAAGTCGCGTGTGTGAACGCCAATGTCCAACATTGGCCTCGCACGCCCCTACTTATTTCTAAGCTCAAAATCAATTTTAAACACTTATACAATATCAAAAACATAATATTTACAATCAAAAATTGATAATTCATGTAGCTAATCATGATTAAAAAAATATATAATTAAATATTCAACCCGGCTCGATATCAATTGAAGGATCATGCATTCTATGGAGGTGCGGAATAAAATAAAAATTTTCCTCCATCTAAGGCTCCCAAGATCAAGCCATTGAATCAACTAATCATACATACATGAATTAAAGCATGAGTAAGGATTACCTCTTGTGGCGTAAATTTAGCCTTAGGGAGTGGCTTTCTTGTCCTTAAAGGATTAAGAGTTGTAATGCATTTAGGCTTTTTGATCTTATCCTTATAAAACCCGATCCTTATACAATAAGGGTCAAGTTTATTCACCCACCAAAATATCTCGTAGGCTTTTAAATTAAGCATATTGATCCAAACTCTTTTAGCCTAATTAATTATCAATTAATTTAAACCATCCAAGTAAATTGGGTTAGATATTTTAGGAAGCCCATATTAGGAAGCAATTTTTCAAATTACCCTTAAACCTAAATTAGAAAACTAATTTTCTTTTTCGGTAACTTTCTTTTAAATTTGGAACTGACTTCCAAATTAGAAAATTGATTTCTAAAATAAAAAACTTTCAAAAATAGAAACCTTTTTTCAAAATCTTTGCTTCTCTTTTATTATGTGAATACTTAAACTTATGTGACTCAATAGGCTCCTAAATATATTGGTAATGTATCAAGAATTAAAAACATCTCTTTTATCTATTGATACATAAATCAAGATTAGCCTCTAACAAGGCACCATGACTACCTAATTCTTTAAAAGGATTAATTAATCCATAATTACCTTTTACAAGTATAGTTACTATACAATTCGATCCTCATGTCAATTTATTATAGTGTGATCTCAAACTTGATTTTTAATTTGTTCGATTATGATCACACAAGTTTTCTTTAATTCTCGAGTGGCTTAACTCTAGAGTAAACCAACTATGCTCTATTATTATGCTCTCACTATGGCTATAGATTTCTTGATCAAATATTTATTGACGTGTAATGTGATAACTCATTTAGCATATAAAGAATTACATATCTTATATTAGTCACCCACCTATGTTAATTAGATTCCTAATAAACCAACAAATCACCCACGTGCGGCTCTTGACGAGCCCATTGAAACAAGGGTCAAAGTATATAAATTCTCTAATGAGATAACCGTGATGACTTCGAATCAAAAGACCAATTGTACCCATCTCGTATGAGATTCTCATAGACTAAACCAAATGGGTTCTCATGGTGAGTCAAGTTTAGTGATATGTTCCCTAAAATTAATTAGCTAAGTGCTTGCTTTGACATTATCATGCTAATAGGTGTGAGATCTCCTACAACTATCTTATAGCATGAGCATAGCACTCATAAGTCTTACCACATATAGTCAATGTTACGACTTGAGATATTTAATGATATCATTTAAATGTATTAATATTTGTCTCATATCTTTTGATCAATTATTAATGCAATGCATACCATATGGACTTCTATCTATTTCTATTCATAAATATTAACAACAAGAATTAATTGAAATACTTCTTTTATTAATAAAATGAAGAATACAATAGTATAATAAGTCAAACTATCCAATCAAAGTTAGATCTTGAGCACCTACACTAACAAGTAGCTCGTCAAATTTATTATTATGAGCTTGAAGCCATTAGTGGCTCATCAATTATGTGTTGTGGGGTCGAAACCATTAGTGGTTTGCCATTTTAAACATTTTTCTTTTATTTTTAGAGTATGGAACTAGGTGTTTGATCGGCCTAAGTTTCAAACTACTCAATTAACGCATCTCGATAAGATAAGTACACTCAAATAGTATAGACTTATAAAATAGTAAGATTAGACATTTACTTTCAACATGCATATAGTGCGACCTACCTCGGGTAGGACGTAATAACTCGTGATTTTGATTTTTTTTTTTACCTATAACCAATATTTTACCTAGATTTCGTGCAAACTAATCATTTAGGGTTTTTTAGTTTCCCAATACTAGGTGGAGATTTTTTTATTTATTTCCTACCCGAGTTAAAGCTAATCACCCCGAACCCCAACCCCTCGACGTCTTGTGCTTCTCCACCGATTACGAGAGAGAGAGAGAGAGAGAGAGAGAGAGAGTAGTCATTGACAAACGAATAAAAAAAAAGAATAAATAAAGAAATCGAGCAAATAAAATGAAGAAAAAAAGAGAGAGCACCTTTATGCATGGTGCGGGCATTGTACTAGTTACTAGTTACTAAGTATTTGTAAAGTATTGTGTATTTTTAAATTTATGACAATACTATTCGTTTTTCTTCTTTCTTTGTATAACTTGACATGTAATACAATTATATTAGAATTTGAATTAAGAAGCATTAAAGTAATAACAAGAAATGAAGATTACATTTATCATTTTCTTTTAGTTTTATGGTATTTTTTTAACTAGTTTAAATTAAATTTTACATTTAAGGCAAATTTCTATTATGATTATGTTATTTTTTATACTTTTAAATTATGTTGTATTTTGATTTATTTTATTCTTTTAATTGATAGATAAAATATTGTCATAATATATTTTCTTATTAGAATAATGATTGAAATTCATTTTTTGTTTATATAAAATATGAACACAAAATTTTTAAAAGAGCAATAATAAATATGATGGACTTCTAAATCCGATCAAAACCCTTTACCATCCGATTCGAATTGAATCAATGGACAATCCTACGAACAACCCAAAAAACATCCAAGCACCCAACTGGAATGCCGAAAGCCGGTTGAAATCTGCCTTCCAAAGTTCTGAAGGATGAGAACCAAATTAGGAAAAAGAAAGAACTATTACTACATGCCATGCCATTTATCAGTGGTCAACAGAGAACAATACAGCCAACCAAATCCAACACCTCAAGATCAAACTTACATGACTAAAAACCCATCATCTCCACCCCAAGCAAATAGTATTTATACATGTAGCAAGCAAAGCATAGTCCCTCTCCTTCGGAACCGCAATGTCTACGACTTGTCAACGCAAAGACAAAAGACAAGTCGTTTAGATGGGGGCAAATTCTTGTGTTGTTTGAAGCTAAAGAGTGAGACCCATGTCGTTTGCAATGACAAACCATATGAGAACTGGCACAAAAATAACAAACGGTAGTGAATTCCTTTCCCTGCTATCTGCCTGCTTAGATCATTATCGCATTCAACTCAACTAAAACCTGGTTGGTATCTCTCTATCTCTGTCTTTAGTTTGTTTTTGCTCTTTTGATCTGTTAGTTAGCATTAGCAACGAATGAATAGAGTTTCCATCAAAATCCTTAAAAACTCAAAAACCTTTGCATCTTATGCACAAAACCACGCAATTTCTTCTTCTTCTTCTTCTTCTTCTCTTCAAACAATACCAATCTCTAACTCCAAATCTCTCTCAAACCCACTTTACAATTTCCTCCCTGAAAATCAAAACCCCAACAATATTGTCAATCTCATTTACTCTTCTCTGAAGCAAGACCACACTCTTCTTCTGCAAAATGATGACATAAAGGGTCTTATTCCTCATCTGGGTGACCATGAAATCTATAGGGTTTTATTGAGATGCCAGTCTGATTCTGTTTCAGCTCTCACTTTCTTTAACTGGGTAAAAAATGATCTGGGTCTTAAACCCTCTACTCTTAACTACTGTCTCATTCTTCATGTATTAGCTTCGTCTAAAGAATTCCAACAAGCTATGAAACTTTTAACTGAATTGATTCTGTTGGTTAAAGAGACTGATCAAGATGTGTTTCAATGTTTGGTTTCGTGTTGTCAAGACTGTAATCGGGACCCTGTCATTTTTGATATGCTACTTAAGGCTTATGTCAAAGTGGGTATGATTAAAGAAGGTTTTAGGACTTTTATGAAGATTTTAGAGGTTGGCTATGTTCCTAGTGTGATTGCTTGCAATTATCTTCTAAATGGGTTATTAAAGTTGAATCAAGTCCATCTTTGCTGGCATGTTTATGATGAGATGGGAAGAGTTGGGGTTCATCCGAATTCTTATACATTTAATATTCTGACTCATGTATTTTGCAAGGATGGAGATATCACTAAGGTGAATGATTTTCTTGAGAAGATGGAGGAAGAAGGATTTGAGCCGGATATAGTGACATATAATACACTGATTAATAGCTACTGTAGAAGAGGAAGATTGGGTGATGCATTTTATTTGTACAGGATAATGTATAGAAGGAGTGTCTTGCCGGATTTGGTTTCTTATACTGCATTAATGAATGGCCTTTGTAAAGAAGGAAGGCTGAGAGAGGCTCACCAGCTCTTCCATAGAATGGTTCACAGAGGGTTGAATCCCGATGTTGTTTCATATAATACTCTTATTTGTGGCTATTGCAAGGTAGGAAAGATGCTAGAGTCTAAGTCTCTGTTGTATGAGATGATAGGAAATGGGATTTGTCCCGATAGTTTTACTTGTCACGTTCTCATTCAAGGATATGGGAAAGAGGGTAGGTTAATTTCCGCTTTGAATTTGGTTGTGGAGCTTGAGAAATTTGGTGTTTCAGTCTCTCCAGAAATTTATGATTATCTAATAGTTTCTTTATGCGAAGAGGATCGACCGTTCGCAGCAAAGACTCTTCTGGAAAGAATGTCTCAGCGTGGTAATATACCTCACGTGGAAATCTATAATAAACTCATCGAGTCTCTCTGCAAAAGTGATTGTGTAGCAGATGCATTACCTCTAAAAACTGAGATTGTTCTTAGGAATATGAACCCTAATTTTCTTATCTACAAAGCCCTCATCTGCTGCTTGTGTAGGATGGGCAGAAGCATAGAGGCTGAAAAGTTGATGGAAGAAATGATTCATTCTGGTCTGCAACCTGATCCAGAAATATGCAGAGTGATGATACATGGTTACTGTGGTAAAAGGGATGCTAGTAAAGCGGAATCATTATTGGTATTCTTTGCCAAGGAATTTCAAATTTTTGATAGTGAAAGTTATAATACACTCGTCAGCATTGTTTCTGAAGATGGTGATGTGGCCAAGTTCATGGAGCTGCAAGATCGGATGCTGAAAGTTGGATTTGCACCAAATATACTTACTTGCAAACACATGATTCATGGCCTATGGAAAAATCTGGGACTGGTCGAAGAAACTCTTCTTCTTGAATGAGAGACGTGATCCATATTTTGTGGGGAAGGTTTCAAATGTTCGCTCGCTAGATGATCTGAGGAATGTATCAATATCCTGATCGAGTAGCGAAGTGGTCCTGTAGGGCGTGCTGTGTATTGACATTTCGCACTGGTGAATTATATAGGCTGACATTGCTGCTTCATTTGGTATTCAAATATATCACCCTCACAGCAGTGGCTGTGGAGTTTTGGATATACTGGAAATTGTGGATTCTGAGTTATAATCATCTAGAAGAATATGTAAAACTTGTGATAGTGTTCAATTCTTAAAAGAAAAAGATTAGTGTCATGTACTATTCAGTGAAAAGCTTAGCTTTTTTTTTTCTTTTTTTCTTTCAATCTTATGCAGCCCATTCAGTTTTATATTAACCTTCAACCAAGCTAAGCTAAGTTGAAAGAAAAAAAAGGGTTTTAAAATTGTTGTGCGCAATTTCTGATTCAAGCAAAGTAAAGGAAATGGGATGAGAGCAAGAAGAAAAAGCAAAGCTAATTCATATGCTGAATTACATTGGAACTGAAGCAAGCAAAGCATACAACACCACCACTCCTAGCAAGTGTAGTTGTCTTTCATAACAAAAACTAGAGCTAATCCACCAAATGAAAATAAAAAATAAAGATTCATAAAAATTGTTTTGTCAAACAACAGAACATTTAGCTCCGGCCGCTTCAAGTTGCGTTTTAGCATCTTCAGCTTCATCTTTAGACACCCCTTCTTTAAACTTCTTAGGCAATCCTTCAATCAAATCTTTAGCCTCCTTCAATGCCAAGCTAGTCAAAGCCCTAACCGCCTTAATCACCGCAATCCTAGCATTACTGGGCACTTCCTCAATAACAACATCGAACTCGGTCTTCTCCTCTACCACTGCTGCTCCTGCATCAGCTGCAGCCCCTGGCGCGACACCCACTGCAGCTGCTGGGGCAAATGCCGCAGCCGAAACCCCCAGTTTGTCCTGAAGGTAGTCGACCAGGGTGCGGGCTTCTTCGAGGGTCAAGGAGGAGATTTCAGCACCGAGTTTCTCGATTTTTTCAGGGGCAGCAACGGCGGCAATAGGACGGACGTGGGAGGAGCGGAAAGAGAGCGGGTGTTGGCGGAGAGGGAAGAGGAGGAAGTGTTTGATGGGAGAGGATGCAGGGGAAGAGGATGTGGAGCGTAGAGAGAGTGTTGTGGTTGTCGTAGAGAGGGAGTTTGTTACTGCCATTTTCTATTATAGGAATGAAAGATTTCTTGTTTTCTTTTTCTCTTCGAGAAGAAAGAAAGAAAGAAAGAAAATAGACGATGGATAGGGCTAAGGAAGAGGATAAGGCTATATGAGGAGAGGAGAGGAGAGGAGATGGAAAGGTTTCTGAAATGAAAATTTTTTTTATTTTTTCCCCTTTTTCCTGGTCCTTGTCTCTAGGAGGTTGAAAAAAAAAAAAGAAATAAAAAAGGGGCATTCCGAGAATCGAACTCGGGACCTCTCGCACCCAAAGCGAGAATCATACCACTAGACCAAATGCCCACTTGTTATGTTGTTATATTTTATAAAATATTAAATATTAGTTTCTTAATTTTTTTAGACAAGCGCAAAAGGAAAGGTTACCCCTAGCCTATATTTAGCCCAAAGTTCATTGGGGGATGAAGGAGCCCAAAAAGAAAGTTTTCTGCAAGGTTGCTACTATATATATAGTGTAAGTTATCTCAACATGACCATGACTAGGAGAAAAGTATCGAGACTCTTGCGTTTTGAAATTAACTAATTGTTACTTCAATTTGCAGAACAATACGCTTTTGTTAAGTGTACTTCAAAATTGACTACTTCCTTTTCCTTTTCTTGAAGAGAAAAATTTTTAGGACTTCATAACTTCATACTAATAGATAACTGGTTCAATAATAGCATAAAGTTGCGTTTACCAAGTATTTTGATCCAAACATCAGAGCAAATAAAAATAATAATAATAACTAAATTAGGTAACATTATTATTTACATGACAAAAACAGTGGATATTTTGGGGGTGTCAATGGCAGCAAAAAATAAATGACTATCATTTCTTATTTCCATGAAATCGAATTGACCACAATGCTTCTCTTTTTTTTTTTTTTTCCTCTTTAAAAAAGTTCATATCTCGCTCTCTTGATACCAATTTGGAATTTGGAATCACATGGATGAATCTGATCAAGCCAAACACATAAGTAATAGATATCAAAACAACAAAATGAAGTAGTTTAATTTTGTATTCAGCAATATATTGAAGTGAATCATCAACTGGAGATGACCATATGATCAAAGTATTCCAAATCTCCTGACATATTAATGCTACAACATGGTATCATAAAATTCATTCTTAAACCCCAATAACCCTACTACAATTGCTTTGGAAACAGCAAGCTCACCACCTCCGGCGCCTCCTCCCATACCAATAAGCAAATGCAGCTATTGATGCAGCCATGATGACACCAGCTGTTGCATGCCACGCAAACAATGGCCTCTCCAGAACAAGGGTAGAAGGGCTTACATCAAGAGGTGATGTCAGTGGTTTCTTACTAACTGTCAGTGCAAAGCCCAAACCCTGCGTTTCCAGCTCAGTTATGTCATCTATTGCTGGCTTAAGTCTAGTAGTCTTGGCTAGCGCTTCATAATCTTCTTTCGTTCCTCCTTCAAGGAAAGATCCAACAAGCTGACCTTTGCTTATCCAGTATGCACCAATTGTTTTCCCTGAGTAATCCCCAAAATGCACCACTTCCCCTGCATTGTCCCCATAAAACTGCCAAGAAAATGTGAAGACTCTTGAATAGAAAAACGGGAGGTAGTCAAATTCATCTGTTTTCTCAGGCTCCATTATGGCACCAACAGCATGTTTTGCTGTTTTTCGGGCCGAGTCAACATGCTCTAGCCTACGTGTTTCACCAAATAGTTTCACTGGAAATGCAGCAACATCTCCAACTGCATAGACCGAGTTGTTGCTCGTTTGCATTCGTCCATTTACCTTGATCCCACCTTTCTCCAAAGTTAGTTGGCCTTCAAACAGGCTCGTGTTTGGACGGATTCCGATGCCTACTACCACCATGTCAGCAGGAAGCCGACTTCCATCCCGAAGATTAACAGCGGTTACCTGAAAAGATTGATTGGTTAGGCCAAATACAGTGATAAATTTTTAAGGAAGCTAAAGCTCCCAATGCATATGAACTCATGAAGCTTCCTGCATTTTGACATTTTCACATTGGAAAACTTACAACAATCATCTGATGATCCCAATCAACAAAAAAAAAAAAAAAAAATTGCAACGTAACCAATACTATTTCTGAAATATTCTGCAACATAAAACAGATTGAGACAAGTTCTAGCAAGATTGTTAAACAGCATGGCATTTACCTTTCCATTGTGGTCAATATCAAAAGATGACAAGACAGTTCCTTTTACAAATTGAACTCCTTTTGAGTTGTAATAACCTTCATAATAACTTGCAATCTTGGGTGTAAACAAGCGAGCCACTGCAAAAGGGAAAGAAGCCATTTCTGAGCCAATTTTAGTTATCTTGCTTGGAAGATTTCTTACATCCCCTTCCAGTGCTTCGCCCCTCCTGGCAGTTTCAGTAGGAGACATCGACAGATTTTACCAGTAACTTGTAATCAAGAAGAAATTAAAACAATAGTTTTGAGAAAAATTGGTAAGTCCTAATTTTTTTGAAGGAAAACTTTGCTGGAAAACCTTCAAAAACAACTGTTCTTACAGCCTTTAATTTCAAAGATTTCTTCCTCGAAAATAAGTTTTAAGATATCAGAAGAGGAAGCATAAAGCAGCATTGGGAGCACTTACTACAATGTGCTTCTGGGAAAACCATTGTCACATTTATTCGATTTGTCACCAAAGAAGCAGCACACTCCATTCCTATATAGCCACCACCAATAACAACAGCATTCCCACCAGCATAAGATTGTATCACATCAACAACCCTGTTTGCATCAGCTAAATCTCGTAAATAACAAACATTTTCAGCATCTGATCCACTCACTCCAAATTCTTCAAGCTTCAAAGCCTGCATTGAACAAACAAAAAAACATTAGAGTTACTTCAATGTCCTATTATTTGAGCAATGCAATTCACTTTCTACACATTTTATTATTTTCATGAAATTTCAATAAAGGCCAACAGTTCTTTTTTCTTTTTCCTTTTTTTGAAAAAATAAAGAGTCTTCCAGGAATCATTTCCCAAGTGAAATTATGGGTGCAAAATGCAAACTATTATGATGCCAAGATCTAATAGAACATTTTTTGTCTTCTATATCATCTATGTTTATCCTTACTTTGTACTTTTATACTGCATTTACCCAAAATTAACAACATCAACCAACCATTCAAATAAAAAATAGCATCAACAAATTGAAAAATCAGTTTCAATACCCGAGCACCTGTTGCAATGATGAGAATGTTGTAGCTTATAGTCTCACCAACTGCAGTTAGTAGTGTCTTGCGCCTCACATCAACAGACTTTACTCGAGTCCCAAGAACCAATTCAATTCCTAGAAAAAATAATTCCAAAACTCATCAATTAGAGATAAAACATAAGGTTGGAATTTCAACGGCCTACAACTTAGAAGACTTGATAGTAAATTTGTAAAAAGAAATTTTAGCTAGTATGTGCGCCTGAACAAATTCTACTAAAGAGTTATTCCTGAAAAAGCAGAGATACATTTACTTCTGATATTGGTTACTCTGTATCTGGGTAAGATATGATCAGCCATATCCACTGTGAAGTGTTTGATTAAGATTCTCTATGTAATTAGTAGGTTTGAGTGATCTGCCTATACCTCCACAGGAGAACAGTCTGTCACATTTTTACTGAAGTAAAAATCTTTATATCAACAGGTTAACTCCTTGAAAATGATAAGACTTAATAGTCAAAGAACTTTCTTATGTGAAAGATATTAACGAGAAATAGATAATAGGGCAACTTAATTGCCAACTTAAAACTACATATGAGGCACAATGATCACAGTAACTGTATTTAGTAACTGAAAATAAAATCCTCATAGTACAAGTTGACAACCCAATTGGATCTAACATTAAAAAATAATACAAATTCCACAAACTCAATTCACTTTATATATATAGATGAGCAGGTGAGCTCACAAATGTCTGAATGAGGACAAACTTGGATACCTCTTGTTCTGCAATTTTTTTCATGTACCGTTGCCCCCTTAACTTTTGATATATGGAGATTATAATTACAGGAAATCTAGATAAGAACGTCATAAAGAATGCTAGGCCTGAAAGCTAAATATTTAAAATCTTAATCTAATGGCCACTTCAAATTTTCGATTGACTTTCATTACAATTAGAATGCATAAGGAATCACACTGATTGCAAGAAGACAAATAAAAATATTGATAACATAGCAAAATTTGAAATAGGTATTCCTAAGAATAAGTGCAGTGCTATATGATTGTATTCTAATTGGACAGTGAAAAAAAAATTATATGAGCCAAAAATAAATTACCGTGTTCTTTATACCATTTGGGAGTCAACCTTTCCTCATTAGCTCCAACACAAGTGTGAAATGATGGAAGGCGTGCTGGAGCTGTGTGTTAGCAAAAGTTTCAATATAAGGATGAATATTAAAATAATAAAGGAAAGAGAGGAACAGAAACCATAAATGATTAGCATTTTTTTTTCCTCCTGGTTTAGTTGTGAATTTTAGGACAGCACATTAGGATAAAGAAACCAAATCCCCCATATTACATCCAATCTCAAAGTTGACCATCCCCGAGTTCTGCCAGCCACATCTATGTTACTTAGGCCAAGCTATTCACTATTAACAAGCATCACATTTCAGTAAATTATTTTTCCGTTACAATAGATAAAGAATTATACAGAAATAGTGGGTTATATTAGATAAGCAGACCCTGAACTTGAAGAAGTCGAGCTCTTACCTTCAGGAAGTAAATAACCTTTGGTCAATGCAGGTCTCTCATAAGGTGGAACCTGAAAGAAACCCAGCAGAAATTCATGGATCACTATCAAGCTAGACACATCAAGAGGGAAATATGAGGTGCATAAAATTTTATGCCCTGTGAAAAAACGTTCATTTGAGTCATAGTAGTGTTCCATTGAATAATTATCCCCCGTGCAATTTCCCAACTCACAGCTAATGTCAAGGACATTCAATTGCACAAGCTAAGATTTCGTGTTATCAACCCTTAAATTATATCATCACCATTACATATTCACGACTACCATATGAATCAAATTCATTGTGCACCTTCAATACTATGATGCCAAGTTCTGAAGCCGGCATAACTGCAGACTTAAACGCTGAAAATGTCTAATACATGAAATCTAAAACCCCATACCAAATTAAGACTAACAGCAAGAGAAGATACGCGTTCACAGAAATGTCCCTCTTGCCATAGGCTTATATTCCATTAAAAGAATGAGGAAAAGCAAGTTATAAGTAATTTGAAATTGAATAGAACTAATTCAGTCCACCATTAGTTAAAGTCCCAGGCAAGGAAAGAGTTTGTAATCAAGCAACCAATACGCGAAAAAGATAAGAGCCAAAGCCAAATAAATATGGTACAAAGGCGATGCTAACCCTTCAAATTTCAGAATCCTCCTTAAAGTGAAGTAGCAAACTATTTATTAATGGAATTTCATAAACATAACTCTTTTTTCATAATCTAACTAAGAAAGGGGGAAAAAATAATAAGGAGACAAAGCAGCTAACAAACAGAAAATTGAACCCAGCAAAGAAAGCATGTGCGGAACAAAGAGCGAAACAAAATCAGATACCCATTAAAGAAATAAACCTAAAAAAGCTAAAAAGAGAGAATTTTGCTTTTTTTGCTCACAGTTTCTTCAGAGATGATGCAAAGTTCGCCAGGTGAGACTCCTTTCTTTGTGAATTCAAGAGCTGCATACCCAGCTGCCACTCCTCCTCCAAGAATAACATACACAAATGCTCTTCCCATTTCCTGACACTCTCTTTCTCCAACCAAAACTCTCTCCGGTATCTACCCTTCAAACAAAGTTCTCCCTCTCACGAGTTAAAGAAGACTATGAAGATTGGTTTCATTTCTCCATGTTGTATTTTGGGTGGCATTTTACCTCTAAAGGAAAACGAACATCACTTAATACCATTTTACTAACAGTTGTTTCTTTTTTTTTTTTTTTGTTTTTGTTTTTAGCTGTATGCATGTGGTCAATGACCACCATCCATCATGGATTAGGGGCGAACTTGTATGCTAGTCGGGAATAGCAATCAATCCGGTCAGGATGGAGCGGATTTTTTTATGTAATATATTGATAATCATTATTTGTATTTGGTGGGATCATATATGAAGAGTATTTCCCCCTTATTAGGGATTCGATGTGGATTTTTAAATTTTTTTAAAAATAAATTAGTATAAAAATATCATATACCAAACAATATTATTTTTGTCATAAAATCTAAATTCAAATATAATTTAAAAATAAAAATTATGTGTGTAAACATCACTAGTGATTCAAGATCTCTTTTATATTAAAAATATTTATATATAGTAATTTCAAGGAGTTGCCCTGATTATTAAAGAGGTATGTTCCTTTTTTTAATTTCATGAGTTCAAACTTTTTATGTAGCATTCACAAATTTTATAAAATTGCTCTAAATATTTATTACCGTCAAATGAAAAAAAAGTATATAATTATAGATTATATACTTATTATTTGTTAAACTATAAAGAAAATGTGTCAGACTAACTAACATATATCTACACTACACCTCTGGTCATATACTTCTTAGTACTTAATAAATAAATATTATTTAACTATAAGATAGTAGTTCAGTAGTAAATAAGTATTGATTTATAGATTAAATTCAAAGTTTCGTTTTTTGTGATTAAAACTTTTAAAAATTTATTTTTAAAATATTTAAAGCTATGCGTTAGTAAGTGTCTTGTAACCACGTTCGGAAAGAGATTAGTTTTGATATTCACAAAAATTGATTGGAAAACCCTTTATTTCACAACCAAATAATAATAACAATAATAATAATAATAATAATAAATATCATCTATAATACCAAAGGATACTAACATATTACTTTTACATGTTCTTAATTAATAATTTTATTTTATCATTTTTTTTTATTTTCATATGTTTACAATAACCAATTAAATTTCAATTACAAAATTAAATTAAGAAAGTAAATTGATTTTTAAAAGGATTTGCGCTATAATATTTTTATAATAAAAGGTAGCGATGGGGAAAGCTATTGTTACCACGCTGTTTGTCTATTTTCCTTTGATTTCATCCTCGGAATGTGATGGTGCAGTAGCTTGAAAGTTAGCTAGAGCAGTATGGATAAATAGATATTCAATTCAAATCCTGGCACGGAACTCCGAAAATAAAAAGGCTAATTAAATCAAAAAAGAGTTGGCCTTCTTTTCCTTAAATAGAATATCTGTGGAACTACCTGCTCATTATTTTTCCGTGAATTATAAAACACTAAAAGCAGTGGTATCTTATGCACCTAACGTAAGTCATATTCCTCACGACATAAGATTGATACATAATTAAGTTTATTTTGATCATTTTGATCCTTACTTTTTTTATTTTTTAATTAAATTTTTTTTAAAAAAAGATGTTTTAAAAAAATAATTCATAAAATAAGTTTTTATCTAAAATATAGATAGAGATAAATAAATAAATAATATTTTTTAATAAAAATTTATGAAAATATAAAGAATAATTATTCAAATAAAAAATTTTGATTAAAGAATTATAAAATTGAATAAATTTTTATTCAGTTTTGATTTGATATATTTTGATTGACGTATAATATAATTTAACTGGACTCGGATAATACTAAAAATCCAGTGGGATGAGGAAACGATCACCTAATGGTAATCCCAAACAACTAAAATATATTTTAAAAAAATATTGTTAATTGATGTAAAGTAAAAATAATAGTGTATAATGTATTAGTTGTTGTAGTGGAGAACATGGTCCTAAATTAAATCAATACCTTTTTCCACACCTTTGATGCACGTACTAGAAAACCAGTAAAAATATGAGTAAATTATAGATTAATTATTTTAGTTTTGAATAACAAATTAACTAATTTTCTTTGTTTCAAAAATTAATTATTTAATTCTTTTCTAATTTTTTTTGGTTTTTATTTTTTAAAAAAAAGAATAGATGTTATGAAAAATTAATTAAAAAATAAATTTTTTAAAAAATAAGTATGATCAACACTAATCAAAAGGTTATATAATTATTTTCAAAACAAGAAGAATGAATTAATTTGTTTTTCAAAACTAAAAAGACTTATTTATAATTTACTCATAAAAATATTCTTTAATATATAGAAACACTAAAATTGGTTCCATTTAGCAATATGGACTTGGAAATGCTTTTAAAATGTATTTTTGACTAGAAATAATTTTAATAATAATAATAATAATTAAATTGATATCTTTTGTATCCATACGTGTTTTTACAATCAATCTCCACCGTTCCCTGGGACTTGGTAATTAGAGAGACCCACTTTTGATTGAGAGGAAGGAGATGTGGTGGGACCAAGTTTGGAATTTTGGTACATTCAGTCATGTTGCAACGTGTAACGAGTGAAATGGTAGGGGGTGATGTTGGTACTTCGATAGGTTTGTTATTGGGAAGTGTGAGAAAAGATGATGACAACAAGTTGGTAGGATTTTTGTGGTGAAGTGAAAGAACATGTTTGTTTACGGTTAGGACAAGTTGTTGTTGACCCAAGGCCATGAATTGCGGATGAGGCTTTTCTATCATCCATACCACATACCTTCCCTTCCTCAACGTATCTAATTATCCCCCTTTCTTAAGGATTGGGTGGAGACCTATTTTTTAATATAATATTGAATAACGGATAATATTTTGGGGCAGGCTCTTAAGGATCACGTTATTTTGGTGCACTGACTTGCAAGGATATGCTCACACAATCAAATTTCGTGTGGTTTCGCCGTTACGACTATTTTTCTTTTCATCGTCTTATTTATTGTTAATTTTCCTTTTTTCTTTTTGTGTTTTCGCTGTCTCTTATTGAAAGGTGGCGAAGAAGCCAAACATTTGGGGCATGAAAGATGACGCCCTATAATATAATTTATACTAGTCTACTAACACATCCTTTCAGTGAAAAGCTTAACATTTGAGGTATGAAACTTGCATGCAGTCTACATTGCGCTTGTGCTTAATACTTGAAAAATTAGAGATGGTGAGACTTGAATTCGGGACCTCAAGGTCAACCAAGCTACGATACCATATTAAAGAACCATCTCACCTAAAAGCTTAAGTCGATATATGATGCCTGGAATATAATTTATACTTAGTTTTTAACACTTTATCGAATGATATAATAAACCAAAATAATAGCATAAAAACGGATTAAATCAAATCAATGTATTATCGTCGATGTTGAAAATAAACATTTTCAATTAAGTCAAAGTATAAGACTTTAGGAGTTTAATGACCAAATTGAAACATTCAAGAAACAAAGAGGACTTGAAATTGAGATAAATTTCATAATTTCAGAAATAGTTTCGGCAAATTCGGGCAGTAATGGCAGCAAACAAAGCGAGCTTTTTTTCGTACAAGTTGTTTGATTTAACTTTATTGTTTAGAAATAACTAGTCACTAGAATCCCATAGAAAAAAATTATTTTAAAATTTTAAATTTTTTTAATAATTTTTTTTAATTTTTTTAAATATAAATCATTCTTCTTTATAGATTGATTTTAAAATAAAAAAATATAATAATTTTAACTAAAATATTAATCAAGAATTAAAAAAACTTTAACAATATAATTTTTATAATATTGTATTCCAAAAAATAAATTTATAATTAATTAAAGATTTTTACAAAAAATTAACAAATAAATTTTTTTTAATTTAATGCTAATGAGAAGATAGAACAAAAATTTATAATAAAAAATCTAATAGTTTTAACAATTAATTTTTACAATCATGCCTATGTGCATTTCAATTTTGGATTTTGAGCCCATTTTTTATTCTCACCAAATCTTACAATTTCATTAGAAGTCTTTTTATTGCACTAGGTTTTGTTAGGTTGATGGTTGAACTTCTAACTTGCAAGCAACATATTTGGTTTGAAAACCAAACCTTATTTATGAAATTCAAACGAGATTTAAAAAAATTAGATGAACGTGTCCAAATTCAAATGGTGTGTATGACAAATCAAATAAACAAAAATATATAAGGATGTTGATGCAATTATAAAGTCCCTTTTTTATCACTTGAATCTAGACTTGATTACTAATTAGACAAAGCTATTCTCAATTGAATTCAAACACAGCCCCTGTACTTGTAACTAGTGTTACAAGTGAAGTGAACTGCGTGGATGATGATATTGTTGAGTGCTCAAGTCCATCCTTAGCACATGAACCTGGGAAAAGGCGATCATTTGTAAGGATTGAAATGCTTACACCGAAAGGACGCTTTTGTAGCTGGCTCAAAGAAAGAAAAACGCATTGGATAGTTTTTATTGGACATCCGTGATATCAAGAAAAGAATTGATTTAAATTCGATGACGAGTTCTTTTCAATCTAGGAAACATGACACAGGATTGTGGTCCATTTCTTCGAGGTCAAATATTCAAGTTAAATTTGGACCGACTCTAGGAGGGTCAATTGTTTGGACCAAAAGTTTCAAGCTTTTGTTTATTTATTTTTATTATTAGTAATTAGAATTAATTAGTCTTTATTGAATTCATATTGGATTAAAGTTATTGAGTCCAAATAGATTTGGCTATTATTTTTTCCTAGTTAGCTAGAATTTTACGCCTAGTATTTAAGTATCTTTTATGTAATATGAAAAAAACAACTTTGATTATTGATTAATAAAATTCTTGAGATGTTTCTCTCAACTATCTCCCGAGTTATTCTTGCGCTTGTTTAAGATTTTATATTTTCTCGTATTCTTGATTTGATTGCTCAATA